CCAGACACTGGCCCGGAACCCAGCTCCTCCACACTCGCCCCGAGCAGTCTGAAGACAGCTCCAGCAGGGAAAAGAAGCGCAAGACTGAAGCCTACAAGTCCGGATTGCCTACATTTACATTTAGGAAGGAATGTAGGAAGTATGTAGGAAGGTTGCAAATGTAGGAAGCCTACATTTGCGCGCCCACGGGCACGCAAATCCTCGGCCTCAAGGGATGCCGAGAGGGAGGAAACCTGCACGTGAAGCCACACCTGGCCGATATCATAAGGAAGGACAGGGGTAAACAAGTACGCATTGAAGTGCTCCAACTCGCCCCCCAGGTAAACCTGAACGACTGCAGTCAACTCCCGCCATTCAAGTGCGCAGTCCGACAGAACGAAAGCCAAGCTCCCAAAGAACGAAAAGGCAGTCTGCCAGCCAGGCAGACTGCACCTTGTAACAAGGTGCAGTCTGTTACAAGGTGCACTCTGGCACCTTGTAACACACCCACTATGGAAAAGAGGAGCCAACTCAAAAGAAGGCTTCATTATCAAGGCGTAATCCGGGCCTCGCAGGAGGTAAGCCGCAAGGGCCTCCCACACCTTCTTTGGTAGGATGCGGGAAGCCAAAAACCTCCGGAAGGTGGGAACCGAAGAACCCAAGGGAAATCTGAACTGAACCCGGGGAGGAGTCGCACTCATAACAAAATCGTACAGGGAGGTGAGATAGGAAAACCCCTCCCCCTGTAACAACAAGCCCCGTGCCGAGGGTACCAAACTCCCAAGCAGGGACACGTGGGGCCCAGGGTCCTCCCCCCCAAGTCAACTTCTCCCCATCCCCTGAATCCTCCACGTCAGGACCTGGGGCCGAGCTGTTGTCCAAACCCTCTGCCTCTGGAGAAAAAGCATAGTCCACCGGAAAAGCAGGCATGAAGGGGGGCCCCGCTGGCGTGGCCCAAAAGCTCCAGCAGGAGGAACGGTATCGAATGCCTCCACCGCTGATCCGGAAGGAGCAATCCCCTGAAGCTGCCCGAGTTGCACTACCAGTATAATCAAGCGGGGCAGCTGCGGGGCATCCGGAAAGGCAACCAACCTCGTACGTTGCTGCAACCTAAACCTCGCATGCAACCCTAAATTTGCCTGCACCCAATTATTAGTCTCGGTGGACTGAGTGAATGGAATACAAGCATTCGTAGATGGTGAGTGTCACCCCTGAGACAATGGGACAGATAACCTTCAAACTCTCACAAGGTGAGGTAGGACTCGGAGGTCTTCTCCATCGGACCACTGAGCCCCAATTGGGGTTTCCAGGGCCCTTAGGCTGACTGCTAAGAGAAGCCCAGGTGAGGTACTGCTAACCAGTTATCCCAGAGCTACCAAGCAAACAACTAAAAGCTGAACCCCTGCAACGTGTGCAAGCACGGGGACCTAGTGGAGGGCCACCCAAATCCTACAAGTGGTCCTACCACAACACCAGGCAGACCCCCACCAGGCAAATCAAAACAAAAACACAAGAAAACCCCCGCAAAAGCACAACGTCTCCAGGTGAACAGAACCGGTTGCTATGCGTATATCAGACAGCTGCACAGTACCTCGCGCAGCAGCCAGCGACGAAACTACCTCCTTCCCAAGGGCAAACAGGAGTAAGAAGCACCCCAGCTGAACCCCCAAAGGCCGGCAATCACCGAGCAGCGACAGAACCACATGAAGGTAGCTGCTTCTGAACGGTTCATGGAAGATAACCCTGAGGTCGCAAAGGCAGTATTTACGGAAATAGTGAATAGTACTGAAATAGAGGGAATACAGAGAACATATACTGCACGCATAGACGAGATAAAACACCTAAATTATTGGGATCGTCTCAAAGCTCTCCAAATGTACTCTCTAGAAAGGAGACGAGAGAGATACCAAATAATATACACATGGAAAATATTGGAGGGCCAGGTCCCAAATCTACACAGTAAAATAAGAACGTACTGGAGTGAACGATATGGAAGAAAATGCATGATTGAACCAGTGAAGAGCAGAGATGCCAAAGGCACAATCAGAGAGACCTCTGATGTATAAACATCAGAGGTCCGCAGTTGTTCAACGTCCTCCTAGCGACTATAAGAAATATTGCCGGAACAACCGTGGACATCTTCAAGAGAAAACTGGACTGTTTTCTAAGAGAAGTTCCGGATCAGCCGGGCTGTGGTGGGTATGTGGGCCTGCGGGCCGCTCCGAGCAACAGCCTGGTGGACCAAACTCTCACAAGTCGAGCCTGACCTCGGGCCGGGCTTGGGGAGTAGAAGAACTCCCAGAACCCCATCAAGCCGGTATCAAGCAGGTATGGGGTACCTAGGGAAGGAAGCCCTAGGTGCATGCAGCCCCAGTACTCATGTGTTACTCCTGGCTCACTCACTACCAAAATAGAGCAATAACACCGCTAAGCAACACTGTGCAAAGAGTGGAGCCAGAGCGATCGACTATCACCAACACAACAGCCTCTTAAACGAAGGAGAGTTGCCGGTGTGGAGGTTTGGGACCCCCTATCCCCCTCCCTGGGAGTGGGTTGGGGGGGGGTTGCGCAGACGGATACGCAGCAGTTGTGGTGACATCATGTTTGTTTCCTTGTTTTTGATTTTGGAATTCTGTTTGCTAGTTTGACTTTCGATTTGCAATTTTTGATCAGCTGTAGTTTGTTTTGAAATTCCTACCTTTCTGGGTGCCTGACCTGGTAGATGGCAGACAAAGACTGCTTCCAATTACACGGGGGTGTCTTTAGGCCATCCTTGTGCCTCTCTTGAGGGGCGCCAGGTTCTGGCTCTGGTCCCCGGTAGGCTTAGAACTCCTAAGATTGACTGTTGCCACGGTCTAATATATACACGTCAGCCCGGTATAGCTCCGGGGAGCCAAAGGGGCTCTCTACAGAAAAGCCGCCAAAGAATGAGAAAAAATGTACAGTACAGGTTTATAAGTGCTTGCGTAACTGCTTAGAGAATCTGGCCCCCTGGTCATTGGACCGGGTGCTCTCTTTTTCTCTCTCCTCAGTTTGTGGTGGCCCCTTTGGTTCAAGATTGTTTTTCGAAGGCTCTTTTCGTGTTGGCATTGGCTTCTGGGGGTTGGGTTTGGGAGCTTCATGCTCTTCTCTGGCTCAGAGGTTTCTGCTCTTTTGGTTCTGGTGATAGGTTTGTTCATTTGCAGCCGTCTCCTTCTTTTTTGGTGAAGAATGGGACCGCTGCTTTCCGGAGGGGTCCTTGGGTTGTTGATGCTTTGTTGGTTGAGCCGGGGGTGCATTATGTGTTGTTCGGTTGCGGCTCTTCGTTGTTACATGCACGCCAAGGCCTTGGTGGCTGGGGACGCGCTGTGGGTTGACCCTGTTTTCCTTCTTTCCTGTTCCAGGGTTCGGATCTCCCAGGTCGTCTGCAGGGTTATTTGGTCCAGCCAGCCTGTGGTCAGTCCTCGTGCCCATGACGTTCGTAAGTTCGCTGCGTTAGCTGCTGTCTTTGGTAATATGTCTTGGAATGACATTTGGGCCCGAGGTTTTTGGAGATCGAAAAGGGTCCAGGCCGCTCGTTATCTAGTTAATGTTCCTGGCTGCTCTCTACCTAGTTAATGTTCCTGGCCCTTGTTGGGTGTGTGTTGCATTGGGTCTGCAGTTTCAGCCAGTTGTCATGACTTCGAGTTGAGGAGCGAGTGGCAACTTAACTACTCAGATAAGTCCCTCTTGCAAGTCTACTCTCGCTGCTTACCCAGCTACTCTTGCCGTTTACCCAGCTACTCCCGCTGCTTAAATTCTTTGCATTTGCCTTGCTCTTCTTGGGATGTTTGCTTTGGAACTCGTCTTAGTAAATGGCGCACATTCTGGTACCTTCCAGTGATGAGATCAGTACCCTCAGCTGTTTATATATATTCCAAATGTGTACCCTGCTTTTCTGGAATTTTTACTAATCTGCATCTTCAGGTGCAGTTCAAATTCCTATCTCTATTGTTTTCTTTCACGAAGTATTCTCGATTTAGCAACCCCTGCTCCAGCAGTGTTACCTGCTCTCCTGGGATGTTTGATTTGCTGCCTCACCTCAGCATTGTCCCTCCTATTTTGGTGGAGTGGCAGGCCTATGGGCACTTGTAGTGGCGGTATGTTTCCTGGGATGGTAAATGCTACTTCCTCTGAGATTTAGGGCTTGAGTGGTCAAAGTTCAGAAACAGTCCTCTAGAGTAAATGAGAAGCTCCTGTATGAGCAAGCTACTCTTGTGTACTCTTCCATTTTCTTCCATCTTCCTCTGTGCCTCTATATGTTTAATCTAGGAAAAGAGTAAGGTGGTTCTCAAGTGCCTCTTTTGACATTGCTGGTAGTAAAAACTGTGACAGGTTGTAGTTGCAGCCAGGTAGCAGACTAAGAAAGTATGGGCAAATTATTTTCAGTATAATTGAAAGAACCTTTCAATTGTCATTCCAGATTGATTGGTTACTTTTTCAGTCTTCCTTTCCTTCTTAATGGCCAAGTAAGGGTAACTTCAGTGGACAGCCCAACCCGTCCTCTTAAAAATAACGTCACTTTTGGCTCGTATGCGAGCTATGGCCAAATTTGGACGTAATTTGAAATGAAATCGACTCACAAAAGTGACGTACTGTTCCGTTTTCTATTTGAGTCGTCCGGCGTACGCGCAGAGGTTATAAGAGGACACTTTAAATTAACGTTTTTCATAACGTTTTGAAACTTTGAGAATTTCCTGCCCACCTAACCTATCAGAGGGCCCTTAACTTACTGTTGTTGAAAAGAAAAATCCCAAATTTATTTACATTTTTTTTCATTTTCAAATTACGTCCAAATTCGGCCATACGGGAAAACGGCCAAAAGCGACGTTCTTTTTAAGAGGACAGGTTGGACAGCCACTGTGTTGTGGATGAGTGGGTCACACTGGCCATGCTGGAATTTGAGCAATGTGTCTGGATGAGCATTGCCTAAGAGAGCAATCAAGTGACTTGTTCAGAAAGGGGTTTTCAGCTATACTAAAAGTTTTTTTTTTTTTTTCCAGCTGTGTATAACTTCGACACTTCAGTTCTGGACCTAGAAATTTTGCAACAAGTATATGATGTGGTACGTTAATTACTAGTATACATAAATTTACAGATATTATTTTGTATAAGTTTTATTTATACATAATTTGTTTCCAGCATTTGTTGTAATAGTTTGTGATCTGCCAGTAACCCAACCACTACACTGTGTTATAGGGCTGAAAGTATACTTACACCATGTATTCTAACACACCTTCCAATTGAGGTGGACAGACCCGGCCCTCGGGAAAAACACTCCCAAATTAACCTGTCTTATAGGTACAACAGTTCCCTACACACAGGCTATAGGGTATAAACAAGTGGGTGTAATTATTGGCTTTATCATCACAGAATCCACTCCCGATAAAGTCCTGGCATAGCCTTTTGACATTTACTGTATGAACAGACTACTCCTTTGATAGAGATTAAGACTTACAAACAAAACATTCTAGGCAAGCCCAAAACTTCTGATGGAAGCACAGTTTAACAATTCACTAAAACCACAAAGTACATTAAATATCCTCTCCAAACTGACTCCTACTACACACAATCATTGTGGAATACAGGGATTCAATACAATCATAACTGAGCAAACCCCATTTACGATGCGGCAGCTTCCTGAAAAGCCTCCAGTTGGGAAGCAGAATCCATAAAATCAGAGACCTAGTGAGAACCCAAGGTCATATCGGTGAAGTTTTAACTCTAGAGGCTGTTTTAAAGAGGCTGTTTTAAAACAAATTTGTTTTAAGTTGGCAAGTGTATGAAAGTGTTGGCAAGTGAAATGGCAAGTGTATTATTTTTATTAATTAGTTTGTAATTAATACATAGTATGTTAAAGAATTTTTGAAGCAGGATGGGGATGGGACGAGCATCCTGGGTAACCCCAGATGCACACCTTATTCCATGGCTCTGGCATGCGTCTGGGGCTACCCACAATGCTGGTTCCATCTTGCTCTAAAACATTTTGCATAGATAAAACACGTAATTTAATTAATATCAAGCACGTCTTTTCAGAGAGCAAGTGATGTAGAAATTGCCATGATAAAAGCGCAAGTAGAAGCAATGCCAGATGTTCCTCTTGATAAACCTGAACAGTAAGTAATAGTAACATAATTTTAATTTTATTCAGTTATAAAATTACTAATTAACTTATAACTGATCTTGAGTGATATGCTGTAATTTTAAAGCCTTCTTACTGATTTGCAAACCTTATCTAAATGCTCAAGACAATGCCAAGAAGCAAGAAGTGCAGACTCTCGGGGATTATCATTAAGCATTGTTTGCTTGTGAAGAATATTTTTGTATGAATTCTGTCTACAGTAATTTTTGTAGGGAAGCTCCTTGTGGCTCCCTAAAGTATCCAGTGTAAGTACTGTGCAAGAAATATACAATGCTGATACAGTGCCAAAATCCTAGGTGGCATCAGTCGTAGAGTTCTTTTAGGCCTGTCTCAGACCACAAGCCAGGACCTGGGCCCCTCTAATGAGGTATGTACAGAGAGCAGTGTCATTGTGATAAAATTGTTAGTGAATTTTAATTATGTCCACTATCACAAGGGAAGCACCCACAAAGTCAGCGAAACAAAACAGACCACTGCTGGTTATAAAAAATATTGAGGTGGAGGTTGAGGTGGAGTAGATTAGGTTAGATTTGGTTGGGGTTAGTTAGGTTAACCCCTAAGCTGCTCGGGAGGGGGAAGGGGGAGCCCCAGACCCCTCGTGCCAGCAACCCAAGACCTCAGTTCTGAGACTGGATATCAAAACACACGAAAAAAGCGCCGACTGGAGGGAGGGTGGGTTGCTGGGGAGCCTCCGGGTCTCGCCCAGAAAACGGCATTTCATTACATTCAACACCGATTTTGTTGGGGGGGGGGGGGCAGCAGCGTTAGCTCCCAGAGCTACCGACCCAAAGACGAAACAAGAGGGGCCTAATCCAGGAGGTGGAAGTTGCTCACTCTCCAATGCGAAGAGGAGACAAAAGATGTAACTGCCAACCCAAAGCCATACAGGTCCGACAAGGCCCAGGAACATCAACGAAGGAACTCGTAGCCCACTGACGAACTTCGCAGGCACAGGGATAGACAGCAGGCTGGCTGGACTGAACCACCCCGCAGACGACCCGAGAGAACCACACCCTGGAACAGGGAAGAAGGGAAACCGGAACAACCCAAAGCATGATCCCAGTCTCGGCAGCCACGGCACGCAAAGACCGGTTATGCGCCGCCGCCGAACACAACACATGGTGCAACCCCGGCCAGACCAACCAAGGATCAATAACCTAAGGACCCCTCCAAAAAGCAGCCGTGTCAGTCTCCGCCAGAAAAGGAGGAGACGGCTGTAAGCTAACAAACCTAACACGTGGACCAAAAGAGCCGAAACCCTGGCGCCGGTGGAGAGCATGAAGCACCCGACCCGACCCCCAGAGGCCAATGCCAACAAGAAAAGAGCCTTGGAAAACAATCCAGAACCGAAGGGGCCACAACAAACCAAGAAGAAGAGAAGAGAGCACCAAACCAAGAACCAGGACAGCTCAAGCGGCGCAAGAGTAGACTGGAGGTGAACCATGCCAGAGACAGCCCTTGAATTGGTGCAGAGGGAACACCAAAACCAAAGCAACTCATAGGGCTCCTCCAGCACTGCACGAGACAAGGTGACAGCATGTGGCAAGATGACGGTCCCCAAGAGGAGGACAAGACCACACCAACAAAACGCACCAAACCTACAAAGGGACAGAAAGAAAAAGGAAGGACCGCCAAAAAACCTAACACCGTCAACAAGATGAAGCACGCAGGTGGGACACCATCAACGAAGCCACCTTTAGTGGGCCAGCCAGAGGCTTAGGGCCCACGCACGAATTATTCTGCACCTGTTCACCAACAGACGGTGAGAGACAAAAGGCAGAACCGAACCAGCCCCTCCATGGACCAATCGAGCATAGGAAGAGGCGGAGCTGCGGGAAAACCTCGGGTGCGAACACTGAGCAAGCAGAGCCTGAAACCCAAGCCGGCAAGGAATCAGATGGAACGTCTGCCACACAGAAAACTTCCTAATGCCAGCGAGCCCGCCAGGAGATCGGAGACATGGTGGTCTCGACATGCGAAACACAGACGCCGCAAACAGCAAGGACAAAATTGCGACGAAAAACGAGCCAGGGCCCAGGCCGAGGCCAACGAGGAAGTGGGCACCACGAACAGAAAGGCAAAGTGAAATGCATGGACACCACATCCCACAGGAGCAGCGAACGCAGACCCAGCAGGGCAGAACGAAGCACGCAATACTGAATAGGGTATGAGAACAAACCTGGACGTGAAGAGCTAAGAAGCACAAACTTAAACACACAACAATGTGTAGGAGAGAATGAGAAAAATGGAAAATGCAAGAAAAGACCAGAAAAACAGCCCCAGCACCAGAAGCTAGGGACAAAAGCGTAGAAGGAAGATGAGGAACGAAGAAGACAGGCAGCAAACAGGAACGAAAGGGACATGACCTACAACTCGGAGGTCATGTTGATATCAGGTGATTGACAGTTGAGAGCCGGGACCAAAGAACCAAAGGCCAACCCCCTCGAGCACAACTAGGTGAGGACAACCAGGTGAGTACAGATAACTCAATGCATAAGGAAGGGCTCAGCCAGGCACTGCAAAACGGTCAAGGAATGAGTGACAAAGATAAGACCATGAAAGACCTACAACTCGGAGGTCATGTTGATATCAGGTGATTGACAGTTGAGAGCCGGGACCAAAGAACCAAAGGCCAACCCCCTCGAGCACAACTAGGTGAGGACAACCAGGTGAGTACAGATAACTCAATGCATAAGGAAGGGCTCAGCCAGGCACTGCAAAACGGTCAAGGAATGAGTGACAAAGATAAGACCATGAAAGACGGGGCCATGCCCCACCGTATAACAAATAACGCCGACGAACAAGTAAGGCCCCAGGAAGAAGCACGCAAGGAGCCAAACAAAATGCCACAACCAATCCCCAACATGCATCCACAAACCAACGCCTGGCCGAAAGAGACGCCCGACTGCATAAACTCTCCTGCGGAGCGTAAGCATGAATGTGTTATGACATATCGTAGCCGAGAATGTTCCGGGAGCACTGCCAGTGTAAAAAAGTCAGAGCCGCACATGCAGCAGAAGAGTAGGGTAGAGGCGAATGCGGCGCCCCACACCCGTATGCAGAGAAAACCAGGCGTCGCTTGGTTTTGTTGCTTGTTTGTAACAAAACGCGTAGATACTTGTATATAACGTCTGTATATAGTGAATAAAAGCAAAAACAGTATTGTGGGAGGAGGATGTTGGCGAGGGAGGGAGTGGTGGCGAGTGGCTGGTTGGCTGGTGTGTGGTGGCCACTCCTTGTTGCTTTTTGACTCACAATACCAAGGAGTGGCCACCAGACACCAGCCAACCAGCCACTCACCACCGCAACCTCTCTTGCCAACATTCTCCTCCCACCACACTGTTTTTGCTTTTATTCACTATATACACATGTTATATATAAGTATTGTGGGGGTTTAATATTTTGCTTTCCCGACTGAAACGTGTACGTTGCCAATGTGCATGTGGCAGACGCTTCACGAAGCTATCGGAATCAGCAGAGAAAATACAAGAGCAACCGTACAGGGCCTGGGAGCAAGGTCGAGTTAGTCCTTGAGGGTCTCTTCTCAGACTAGCCTCACCTGGTCCTGGTCCATGTTGATCATTGGAATCTCCTCAATGATTTAACACTTTAAGGGACTCCCAGGGTCCTCATCACATTTATAGTTTAGTGAATATAGGCAACTCTGTGTTGAAGACACCTAGAGCTGAAGGCTTGAGTAAATGGTTGGCAGTATTCAGAAGTGGTTCAACGGAAACACTGCATAAAGCTTAACAGTAGTTTATTTACTAACTTAACCACTAATACAAAGGGTGCTTGATTTACTTTAGATTGGTGTCAGAAAGGCTATGGTTGCATTAGCAAGACTCTTGACGTTTGGCTAATCGACTCTGATCCACTCGTGGAGTAACACCTAACTTAACACTTTATCTGCACAAAGCGCCTGCAGGCCCAGGCTTCGGGTACGCAATGCCTCTCCGGGTGTTTTTATTTTTCACGTTCCATTCAAAACTCCCGCGGCTACATGGGGTTCACATCAGCTTCCTCAGGGCTCTTGTAAAGAGACGCCATCTTTAAAAGAATTCATGGTCCACATTGCCGGGTGTCAGAGCCTCAGTAGTGAGTGAGCAACCAAGGCTGGCGCTCGCAGCATGAACGCACAGCACTGCTGTTCAGCGTGTGACCACAGCATCCCCTAATATTGTCAAAATATATATATAATCTGTTTTATTTAGCCATGATAGTATTATAGAAGAGCCCGAGTGTGATAATGACTGGGTACAATGTTCAAATATCAGTGATTCAATGCTGTTCACGATGTTCACAGCGCTAGCCACAGCACCACAGCATTACCATCACGTCCATCTAGGAATCTTCAAACGACTTTTTAGGTTCCTTTTCAAAATAAACTTGTGGTCAATTATTCATTTACAGGAATTAGTGACCAGGATTGTGGTTACAGTATAATTAGCGTTGTGTGTAGTATTGTGGAAGGAGGAATTTTGGTGAGGGAGAGAATTGAGGTAGCCTCACTGTGTGGCAACCACTCTTGTTTTGCTCACCATACTAGCTTCGTGGTTCGCTTTCGGATTAAAATATGCCACCTACGATTTTTTTGTTATTTTTTCCATGATCAGGGAACAAAAATGAACACTTCTATAAGACGAAAGAATTTTTTGGAATTTTTTTTTTTGTTGCGCCTGTGGGTGTGAATTCCATTTGGGCCCCTAGCGGTTTGAGGGTTAATCTAACAGATAATTTTAAGTAGGTAAATTCTAGCAGAATTAATAAAATAACAGATACATTGCAAGATAAAAATGAGATGAGAGAGATTAGTTAGTATATTAAAGCACGTTGGTATATTTAAGCTCTGATTGATTACATTGACAGCTTGATTGGTAATTTAAACAACATTAATAGGCACCATACAGCAGATTGATAGCACATATAAGAAGACAGCAATGATCACAATGGTATGTGTATGTATGGTATATA